TTCAAAGCCCCTCCTCTTGCATTTTTCTTTTGATGTAGTCTTCCTTAATGATTAGAAACCCAGTATTTGACAAAGCTGAATCTCTCATTTTTTTAGACACAGAATTTTAGCATTTGGGTGGATCTTATTGACCATCCATTCTAATCTCCATTGTAGAAATGAGACAACTATGGCACAAAAAATTAAGTAACGTCCTCAATACCGCAGTTATTTCTGGCACTACAAGATGCTCCAGATTCGTCTTGTATTTTTGCTGCTTCAGCTCCAGAATCAGCCATTATTCCAAGGAACCATGAGTCTTTTTATTGGAGAGCAGTATTAGAAACCAAAATCTGGGTGTTAGATGTGTTGTGGCTACTTGGGTGTCACTGCTTCTAGGCCCTCTTGGACAGGGCTAGGAATATACGTATGTATATGAACCCATGTATACATATACATCTGTATTTATTAATTTCTGTATCTATGTATTTGTCAATCTATATATCTAAAGTCATAGGCTGTCTCCTAATCTAATCCACACAGATCTTCGTAGCCCTTCTTCTCACTTAATTGTAACTTCTTTCTTTGGCAGAGAAACCTGGTTCCCCTTATCTACAAAATATTTATATTCAGTACTTTTTAATTTGTGGTATATAGTTCTATGAAGCCATACACTAAAATACCATACAGAACAATTCTGTTGCCCTAAATATTCCTTTTAAAGATCCTTTGTAACCCCTCCCCCATCTCCAAACCCTGGCAACGGCTGATCTGTTTATTTCTATATTTTCCCTTTTCCAAAATGTCATATAAATAGAATCATACAGTATGAAGCTTTTGGGGATTGGCTTCTTTCCTTTGGAAAAATGCATTTAAGATTCATCCATGTTGTTGTGTGTTGCACTTGTTGCTTTTTCATTGCATAGATGTACTACAATTCGTTTATCCATTCACCTGTTGAAGGACATCTTTGTTATTTCTAGATATTGGCAATGATGAATTAAAAAGGTTATTTCTAGGTGTTGGCAATGATGAATTAAAAAAAAATGCCATTGAGTTGATATCAACTCATGGAGATCATGTGTTACAAAGTAGAACTACTCTATAGGGTTTTCTTGGCTGTAATCTTTATGGAAGCAGATTGCCAGGCCTTTCTTCCACGGTGCCACTGGGTGGGTTCAACCTGCCAACCTTCATGTTAGTAAATGAGTGGAAATTGCTTGCACAACCCAGGGACCTGATGATAATGAATGAAGCTGCTGTAAACATTCACATACAGGTTTTTGTGT